CTCCAAGCTGCCGTGGGGACGTTCCCGTTGTCTGTGACTGGCCACCCTCCGTAGCTTGCTTTTCCTTCGCGTCCTTTTCAGCCTGTCTCTTGGTGCGCTGCGCAATCAAAGCGTGCAGTCTCCTCAGCAGCGCGATGACATCGAGATGAGACGCAGCAGGTGACTGCACAAACTGGGTGATGGCTTCCGAGCGTATCGCCGGGGGTAACTTCTGGTTCATAGCGCGCTGCATCAACTGCTGGGTGAAAGTCTGCATGGCCGTCGCAGTCAGCGTCGCAAGCTGCGCCGAGGTGAGTGGGAAAAATACATCCTCTGCCGCGAGCTTAGGCGGCAGCATAGCGACATTTTTCGACCCGTCGGATTCACCGCTGACTTTCATTTGTTCATCAAAGACGCCAAACAGCTCACCGCGCGTCTTGCCGAGGTAAGAACTGAAGATGTCGTCACGTACGCCGAGCAAATCGGACCACACCTCATGTATGGCGCTCGGCGACAGGGCGAGCAAATCTCGGAGTATTGTCGCCGCACGCTCAATTGTGTCGGCCTTGTCGGCGAGGATGCGTTGGGTCTTTGTGGCGTTAGGCCGACCAGACAGCATTGGGGCATGCCGCAACGGAACGACGTTGGCCACCAAGTAGCCGATCTCTGGTAACGCAAGAGAGCTCAGCGTGCCAATCTTGCCCTTATGCAGGTACATCTGGGTCCAGAGCGTACGCAATGCACGCGCTTCGAAACCTGCGCATCGGTGGACGGCCGATGCGAACAGCGCGGAGCACGCTTGTGAAAGCGGGGCCAGTTCGTACCAAGCGGCTCCAGGAGGATAAAGACCGCGAACGGTGTTGAACAGAGTGTATGTCTGATTGAAGTGAGCCGGGAAAAGCGTGTGCGAGGCGAGTGAGGAATCCGCCACCGTGGATACCACTTGGTCGAAAAAGGACACCAGCATGGGCACCGACGTCCAGCGCACGCCGCAAAACGCTATCAGCCGCTCAATGCAGCGTAGAGTAACGCTCTTGTACGCCCGTGCAGTAGTCGTCAAAGTCGCCGCGGCTGCTGGTCCTACCTCCTCCTCGGCCGGTGGGAAGAAGACGCCGTTCACTAGAAAGTCCACAGCGCGCACCGGCGTCTCGTCCGCCTGCTGATGTCGCTGCGCCATAATCGTCGAACAGAGCAGTTCGACCGCCTGCTCCGGCGTATAGAGCTCTTCGGGCGCTGCATGCACGTGACGCTTGGTGCGATACACCTCTTGGCGGAAGCTTGCAAAGATTTCTTTACCGCCCTTCACGCCGTTCAAAACGGCAACCTGCAGCTGACCATTCAACACTTCCTCCGTAACGGAATTTTGACGCGAAAAGACTCTGTTTTCGATCGGCCACACGTACGTGCGGGCCGCATCCTCGCCGCCCTGTGCGCGCAATAGCACCATATCCATCGTCAAGCCACATGTAAGCCACGCACGACGGATAGACAACAGCGGAGGTCCGACATGCGAGATTGCGTTCGTGATCAACGAGTGTGCCAGAGATTTGAACCTCCATGTGGCGACTGAGTCGCGTGTTGACAAGTCATCGCGCAAAATCTGAACCAAGGCATCCGTCATTACCTGGACACTTGAAAGACAGTGTTCCTCGCCTGAGGCCCCGGCGTCGCGCAAGCTCTGCGTAAGCATGTCTGGGAAGGATTCATTGATGACCGTGTAAAAGTCACGTCGGTAGAGCCCTGATTCGTTCTTTGTCCTTCGCTGTACAAACTCGAGCGTGCGTGCAAACTCACGCCATGACGTTTCGCGCGACACGCGCAACAACTCAAGGTATGCTACCAGCCGGTGTTCCGGCTCGCGGCTGTGTGTCTCCTGCTGCAACAGCGCACGCACGGGCGGCAGCGATACGTCGCAGATTTTGCGCAGCCAGCTGTTGCGGGCTGGCCAATCTGCTCCGCATGCGTCCACGGCCGACAGCAAGAAGGGCCACCAACCGGGAACGTTGTTGACCACAGGATAATTGAAGCTCTTAGACCGCAAATGATACACAAGCGCCGAATGCAGTAAGGGCTTTTCTGTCTCCACCACGCTGCTCGGCAGCTGACGTAGTGCATCCAGAAAGCGCTGAAACTCGACTAGATTCTCCAAAGGATTGGACTTGAGAGCATTGGTGGAATTCGGCACGGTAAAGTCGGGGAAGTAGCAGGTGCACATGACCTTCCATGCCTGTTGCGCGATAGCTTCGAGGGCCGGGATCTGTTTTGCGTGTTCGCCAACAGCCCTCAGCACGCCTAGCGCCAGCGCACTGTACTCTCTGTGATGGTCTGCGTCAACGCGCACCCATTTCGACTTTTTCCCCTCGGAGGTCGGAGGAACCAAAATGAAAGAGAGAGACGCCTCCTCCGACAGCTTTCTGGCCTTTTTTCTTGGAGGAACCGAGATGGACTTTACAGACGTCACCTCCTGCGGCAGTTTGCTGGCATCCAACAAGTACGTGCAGAAAGAAAAGAGCGCCGGGCCAAGTGCGGGAAAACTGCCAAGATATTTAGCAGTGGCAAGTTGCATCAACTTTGGCGCCAGGGAAGACGCCGACAGCGTCGCATACTGTGGCGAAGCCGGATTAAACTGCATGCGGCGCTGCATCGACGACACAATGAGCGACACGAAGCGATCGCCGATAGCGCGCGCAGCAGCTATAGAGCGCAGGCCTGGTTCCGATGGCAAAGATGACGCGTCCTCTGCAATAGCGGGGTAGAGGGGCGCAAGGTCGGTGCTCTTCAGAAGCGGCGCTAGCAGGTCGAGCACAGGCATACACTCCTGGAACAACTGCAAAGCGTCGGTGCTTGCCGCGCAGAATTCGAGACACTCGAAGAGCTGACCCGCCAGCACGGCAGCGTACCCTACATAGCAGGTAATTTCTGAGCGCATGGTGCGCACGGTACATGCATTTACAACAGAGACAGCCTTCTTGGCAACGGCAGCGAGGTGTTGCAGGATCGGAGCACTGACGCTCGCGCGCCAGGCCCCCCAAAGATCCTGCTCGGAGCGTGGATCAGGCAAATCCCAAGGCGCGGCAGCTGCGGCAGCAATCCCGCCGCCGATGCGCTGATTTTTTTCCTCCGTATTCTTCGACGCCAGGAAGTCATCTGGCGTATGCGACAGATGCAGGTTGAGCCATGCCTTGAGGATGGGCTGAGAGCACCTGTGGTCGTTGAGGGCAAACGCCACAGGGAGGAAAGAGCGCAGCGTCTCGGCGACGAGATTGCTGTCGCCGACGCTGCGCGTGGTTTCAAACAAGATTTGATAAAATGCTCGCGACGACAGGGCACTGAGCACCTCCAATGTCATGTCAATAATGAGCTGACAGTGTCTGTACTTCCTCCCCAACTCGTTCAATAAAACCTTTGCCAGCTCGACGTGTGGCGCGGAGAAGGCGAATCCATCCGGTGTACGAAGAACGAGCTGTTTGAACAGTCGCTGCTTGTCTTCGCTCGACAGGGCACGCACGTACAGCATCGGCGGCACCACATGGCAAAGGCCCTCATACGCAATCCCATCGGAGGTTTCGCCTCGGGTCGCGGCAGAGGCTGCCAGCGCCTGGTTCGTGGCGGCGAGCTCACCCGTCCGTGATAAGTGAAATAGCTGCTGCTTGATAAGGTCATGCACTCGTGGCTCCACAGCAAGAGGCGCGTAAGTCTGATACAAGTTGAACAGTTGCAGCGCGACGTCCGGGCCAGGCGGGCGAGCCTTGGCTTTGAGCAGAAGCGCGTGGAAGTCGTCAAGAAAGCAACCGCACCAGATCGGGTCGGACGCGTGCGCAGAGAGATTTACGGTCAGGAAGCGCAGGTAGATCTGACCGTGTAGTGGCCAGTTCAACTTAAAGGACCAGTCGGCGTCAACAACAGAAAGAACCTTGTAGGTACTATGTTTGGCCTCGTCGGCGACCTGCACAGCTTTAAAAAAGCTTCTCTCCAGCGTTTCCGGCATGGCGTAGTGGACGAGATCTTTTTGCGCGGATGTGTCACCGGCTGCAATTAATCGTGAGATAAACGAAGCACGCGGGCCGCCCAGCTTCCAGCTGGTGCTCTCTATGAGACGCCGCATGGCTTCAACTGACGAGTGGTACAGACGTTCGAGCCGCTCGTCCGAGAAAAGCGATGCGGGCAGAGAGACCATCGCTTTGATAAATTGGCCGCGGAAGACTGTTGACGTCGTGCGAGAAGCATACTCGTCAAACAAGGTTACGGCAAGCGGTCCAAAGCTGTGCAGTGAAGAGACTAAAGCTCGCAACACGTAGTATTGAGAGGTCTTGAGGTACAGCAAGTTGCTGGCAGGAGCAGCAGAAGCGCTGCCAGCTTGGGACCCAGCGGCTGTAGCTGATTGATCAACGGAAAGGTTGATGATGACCCACTCGTCCACTTCCGGTCCAGCCGAAGTGGCATCAGCAGCGCCGACTTGCGTAGCAGTAGTCACGCTGATTTCCGAATTGAATGCAGAGGAGACAATTGCATCAAAGCACTCGCGAAACAGCTGCAAGACCAGCTCCCCGTTCTGTTGCCGCACCTCCGCCGGCATGTCAGAACTGAGCAAGTCCTTGGCACAAAGCTCGATGCGCCCTCCATGGGGCAAGATGGATAGCGCCTCGCGGACCTGAGCAGTAGTGACGCCGGAAGTAGTGGCTCCTTGCCGCAGTCGCTGGCAAAGCTGCTGCACTTTGGAAATGCGAGGCCTGTCGTTTGGGAAAGATCCAATGAGACCGAAACCGGAAAAGGCAGGCGCACTCATTTTACTGCAATGCGAAAAGAAGGGAAGTGCGGTAAACTGAAGGAGGACAGGCCGGGGACTCGGGTATTTATATGCTCAAGAAATGTGTGGGGCGGGTCGTGGAGCAGTTCAACGAACTGCGACCGACTGCGAGGCGCGCACCCAATGATGACTCACGCACACCCACGCTCAGGTGGAGAACTTCGGAGCGCTGAGCATACAATTGTGCCCCTGCATCCTATACAAATGTTGCATCTCCCTGGTGGTCTAGTGGTTAGGACGGCCAGCTAAAACTATTTCGCAGGCAACCAAGGTTCGAATCCTTGCCGGGGACTATACTTTTTTTTTTTCGGTACAAGCATTGTGTTTGCCGGACGAGACCGCGCTGCAGGTCAAATTTGGCCCCTATATTTTCCAGGAGGGTCTTAATTGAAAGTATATATTAATTGCACAAAATATACGAGTTAAGCCTCGCGCCGCAGCTCCAGTGCGATGTTTTTTGAAGGAGCTGCTTTGGAGTATTGGCAGATAAGTGTCCCCCCGCATCCTACCTCCCTGGTGGTCTAGTGGTTAGGATTGCCGGCCGTTCGGCTGGCGGCCAAGGTTCGAATCCTTGCCGGGGACCATGTTTTTTTTTTCATTAAAACATTGGTGCTTTTGCAATAATAATGCCATGATTGCTGAGCCCAAACCGCGACAATAGCAGTGGGATGAGCTGTAACAGGCTGCTACAATAGCAGCAGAGTCATTGCGGCGCGGCTGCTTTACAGTTGATTACACGATTCATAGCAGTTACGGATAAGGCCCAGTTAAAATTAAACATTCACAACCTGCGCGAAGGGTTGCAACTTTGAGCAGCTGTTACCTGAAATGATGTCATAAGTAACATATTATGCCGTTGTAGGCTGGCATTGGCATTTGCGACGGCTACATAATAACTGGGGGTTGCTGATACACCACTGTCGATAAGTAAGCGGCCTGTCAGACAGGGTAAGTCATTGGGGATTTGGGAGAGCGATCGGGGCAAAATGCTGCGCCACGCATAGCAGTTACGGATAAGGCCCAGTTAAAATTAAACATTCACAACCTGCGCGAAGGGTTGCAACTTTGAGCAGCTGTTACCTGAAATGATGTCATAAGTAACATATTATGCCGTTGTAGGCTGGCATTGGCATTTGCGACGGCTACATAATAACTGGGGGTTGCTGATACACCACTGTCGATAAGTAAGCGGCCTGTCAGACAGGGTAAGTCATTGGGGATTTGGGAGAGCGATCGGGGCAAAATGCTGCGCCACGCACGTGGTTTGCCGGCTTCGCTTCTGAGTCCGGCCAAGAAGACTCGCGGCTCCACGAGCATCCTCCACCAGCCAACACAATGAGCGGAGAACAGGGTGCGTACAATTCCTGAGGCCTGCGATATGAGGTCTTTGCGCTACAGTCAACCTGCAGCGGAACCCCGTCTCAGTTGGTGAATAACTGATCAGTTTGTGACTATTTTGCAGACGCACCAGCCGCTGCCGGCAGCGCCTTCCAAAGCCCCGCGGTGCTCAATGCACTGCAGCAAAAGCTCGGATCGCTCGTTGGACGGGACTCGGGCTACCTTGCTTCGCTGCCCGAAGACGTCAAGCGCCGCTTGAATGCCCTGAAGGTCCTGCAGGACAAGCAGTCCGTCATTGAGGCCGAGTTCCGCGAGGAAGTCTTGGCGCTGGAGAAGAAATTCCTTCTCAAGTACCAGCCTCTTTACGACAAGGTTTGTGCTTTTGCCCTGAGCGAAAAAAGGCGTACATCGAACTCGATCTGAGTTTTGGTGTCTGGGCCTTTTTTTCCCGACTTTCCTTAGCGTGCTGCGTTTGTTGCTGGAGACGCCGAGCCTACCGCAGAAGAATACACCCGCGAAGCCGACTCGGAGGAGGACGGTGACGAACCCTCCCCCGAGGCAAAGGACGGCGCAGTCACAGATTCCGGCATTAAAGGCATCCCTGAGTTCTGGTTGACTGCGTTCAAGAACCAGCCCCAGATCTCTGACCTGATCACCGAGAAGGATGAGGAGGCCCTAAAGAGCCTTAAGGACATCAAGATGCACTATTTGGAAGACAACCCGGGCTTCAAGCTCGAGTTTTACTTTGGCGAGAACGAGTTCTTTACCGACTCGATCCTGACCAAGACGTACTTCCTGGAGAACTCGGAGGAGGCTGCGTACGGCGATGTTATGTACGACCACGCTGAAGGGTACGTTGGCGAGAAACTGAAGCTGCTGATCCGTGTCCTGCTGTTTCAGCGTGATATTCATTTTGTTGGTTTGCATTTACGTAGGAGTGAAATTCACTGGAAAGAGGGCAAGGATCTCAGCGTTATCGTCGAGGTCAAGAAGCAGCGGCATAAGGGCACCAACAAGGTGCGGACAGTCAAGAAGACTGTCCCTGCCGAAACCTTTTTCCAGTTTTTCAGCCCGCCAAAGGCACCTGAGGACGTTGACGATGCCGACGACGAAGAGCTTGATGACCTGGACCAGAAGCTCGAGCACGATTACGAGATTGGCGAGATTATTAAGGAGAAGATCATCGCAAGGGCCGTGGACTGGTTCACTGGAAAGGCTCTTGAATACGAGGACGAGGACTATGACGATGGTAAGGAGAAAGCAATCCAGTTGAAAGCCGTCGCAGTTGTCGGGAGTTGTGATTCTCATATCGTCATTTTTTTGTTATCGCTTCCGCAGAGGAGATGGGCTGGGGAGGCGACGATGATGAGGATGATGACGATGACGAAGACGACTCTGGCGCCGAGGAGGAAGATGGTCCTGGAGCGCCAAAGGCTGCCGCCTCCACCGAGAAGCCGCCGGAATGCAAGCAGCAGTAAAGCGCGCACCGATCCTTTCCTCCTTGTTTCCCTTTTGCATCTGATCGCCCACCTCGCGTTCCCCATCACATTTGATTTTATGCTTGAAAATTTGTATTTGTAAATGAATGATGTATATGAAAACCGCCTATATAATAAGGAAACACCACATATACGCCCCAGGGGGATCAACTGTAACTCTAAAATGCGGGGGAATGTCACTGATACGCACCACCCGTAAGCGGTCCCTCATCCACATATGTGAATCCTCTAAAATTCTGCTGAATCGTCTCACTCAACGGCGCCGACGCGTTCGGCAGCGAATCAACGGGAAGCGAGTCTGTAAACGCCGGATCAAAGTTTGACGTGTCGGTCTCGGACTCGACTTTTGGCTTAAATGGCGGCGTGACTTGTTTTTTGAGCAACTTGTCCCATTCTACGCCTTGGAAGAAGGGTTGTCGGCGGACTTCGGCAGCGTCTTCGGCGCCGCCGCCTAGGCGTGCGCGGGGATCCCGTTCTAAGAGCTGGTAAACACCGATCAGAAGGAATATCAGTCGCCGGTTCGCGATGCACGTGCAAGGAGCTATCTGTGATTGCGCATAAAGACTACGTACCCCTCGGACAAGCAGCTGAGCACGTTCCGAGAATCCTGGTGGGAAGAGGAGCTGGTTGTGCAAAATCTGTTTGTACATGAGGTTGGTGTTTTCGGAATAGAACGGAGGCAGGCCGGTGGTCATTTCTGGACAGACGAAATTACGTGAGACACATCCGCTTTCGATTAACACACAAAACGCAACTGTGCGTCCCATACCGAAGAACAAGATGCCGAGCGACCACCAGTCGACGGCCTTGCCGTATCCCTGTCCCGTCAAGACTTCGGGCGCCAAGTACTCAGCTGTTCCACAAAACGTGTTTGTGGTGTCGTTGAACGAGACATTTTCTTTGCACAGCCCGAAATCGGTCAATGCAATGTGCCCTGTGCTGTCAAGCAGAATGTTCTGCAACAAAGGAGCGTGAGAACCATTGACTTCTGAACACTCGCTTCGCTCTCTCATACCTCCGGCTTGAGGTCTCTGTACACGATGTTGTACTTGTGTAAGTGTTCCAACGCCAACACCAGCTCACAAGTGTAAAACCTCGCTCGCTCCTCGCTAAACGCCGTCTCCTTTTGCAAGTGGTAAAATAGCTCTCCACCATTCATGTAATCCAGCACCAAGTAGAGCTTTTCCGGGGTCTGGAACGAAAACTTGAGACCCACCAGAAACGGCGAGGTGGCTTGAATCAACACGTTGCGTTCTGACAACGTATGCGCAATCTCCTGTCGTTCGACAATATCCTTCTTGACAAGCACTTTCATCGCATAAATACGGCCCGTGTCTTTCTTGCGGACTTGCAAGACTTTGCCAAAACTGCCCTTTCCAACAACTTTTAGCAGTTCAAAGTCTGCAGCGGTGAGGGCGCGAGCCTGAATTGATTGGTAGATCATTTGAATGCGGATCTCGCCCTTGACTTTTTCCTTCCACTGTCGTGGCATGAGGCGGAACCAGTTGTCGTGCAATTTGCCGTTGATGCGTGATGGGCGGATTTTCATCATGCCAAGAAAGCCTTCGCCGTGTCCGTGTATTGCGCCGGATCGGTCCCATATTGTGATTGTTACTTCGCCATCGGGTCGAGACACGTCGCTGTAACAAGAAAAAGGAAATGAGTCGCTCTGCACATGATCGTTTTGAATGTTCCGATTATTTCAGTGCTCACAAAGTAGCTTCGTGTTTCCAGACAGAGTACAATGCAGACCCACGGTGGAGGTCGTGCAAGTGCCCACCGTGGCCCAAATCCATCGGGTCACCGCCGCCTCCAACACTCGGGTCAAACGCCATATCCAAACTCCCGTTCCGGTTCATCATCCGCACAGCAGACGACGGTGACGACGAGCCAGAAGAAGGCGACGCCGCGCGCTTGTCCAGGAATCCCTCGCGGGTGACAAACTCATTCTTTTCAAACTCGACGACGCAGTAAGGACGGGGCTGGTGGTGCGACAGGTCACCGCTGGAACCGCCGTCGACGAGCAGGTTGCGGGCCTCGACGACTTTGACCCAGAGACGGCCTTTTGCCGGCTGGGAGGTTGTTACGTCCCAGTGTGGTTGCGGCGGTGGCGGCGGAGTCGCGTGCGAGGGGTCGTTGGTCAGCATAGCGCCAGAGAGACAGCGGTGGCAGGTAGGTGGCCACAAGAAGACAGTGCTCAGCTTATTAGTTGAGTTGAGCTGGGGGGGCGAACAACGGGCGGGCGGGGGGTCTGTGAGAGCGAAGGAAAGAAGGAAGGCAGCGGGCACTCCCCTCCCTCCCTCTCGTCCCGTCACACGCACGCACGGGCTGCTGACTCAGCGCCAGAAACGCGAGCAAAGGCCATCACAACAACTCAGGACCCGCCACTCTCCTCTTTTTAAAAAATGCCTTGACAGAACCGCCCCCAAGCCGCAAAGATTTCCACGAACAGCAA